CCCACGGTCAGCCCCGCCAGGCTCCCCGTGGGGACGAGGCGAGGCTGGTTTTGCACCCCGTGGAACTTTGCGCCTGATTTTCTTCTCAAGGTGGTCAATCTTTGTTTGCAGTTACCAGCCTTGCCCAAGCCTGCAAATTCCATGCCCCGACCCCCCCCCCCCCCCCCCTTTTTTCCTATTATTATTTTTGCATTCACGGAGCTTACTTCCTCTCCTTGTTTGCAGGCGAGCTCGGGCGGTCTCCTCATGAGAGGTTTGGCTTCCGCAGCCCCTCAGTGCGAGGGCAAAGGCGGGGGATGACACCCGGTGCCGCCGAGCACAAACCCCGGGCTGAGAGAGCGCCTTGGATTTACTTTAGCCAGGCGTGCAGCCCCCTTTCCCTCTCCCAGCCCCCTCTGAATTCTTGCTTTACAAGATCTGCATTTCCAATACACTGGGGAAAAAAATAAATAAAAGCAACCCACAAGTCTTGTCTCTCATAACAAGCCGGCTTTATCTTGGCTTACAAATCAATTGTGCATTGCTGTTAAGTCCTTCTGGAAGGCATGCCACTGCCTCTAACAAGCCAAGCTCTCTGAGCTCTGAAGAGAGACCCCAGTGAGAGAGTCCAGCCCCCCCCCCCCTTCTTGTCAGTGGGCCCGGACCTTCCGGGTTTCCCGTGACACCCAGGCCTGACCCAGACCCCGCTGGGAAGATGACCCCCCCCCCCCCCCCCCGCCCCGCTCCCTCTTTTTTAACAGCACGAAGCCAGTCTCTTGTGTGAGCTCTGGCAAAGATCAGTTCAGACTCACTGACTATGGGTAAGTCTTTGTAGGTCACTTTTTAATGATGTATTTCTTTAATGGAAACAATTCCTCCTTTCTCCTTGAGGACTGGGATGTTGAGTCTGGGTCTGTTTTATAAAATAACCATTTTAAATAGAGGATGTTTAGCTTCCTTTATTTTTTTTCTTTCTTCTCAGTAATGTGTTTTCTCCCAGTCTGCATATCCAGATGAAAATTGTATGACCCTTGAAAGGCTGGAAAGATTAGGAGTAGAATGAGTGTGTGGTACAGAAACCCGGTCAGTGCATATAATTTAATCTTTTGAAACAGGTAATCTGCTTCTAGCTGAACTTTTATTATTTCACTTCAGTGTTTTGCTGCTGAATAGCTAGCTGTCAGTTGCTGTAGAATGGACTCACTGCTTAGGATTATAGCAAGAGGGACTGAGCTTAAAACCAGGTTTGCTTAAATGTGCTTTAGAGGGTTGTCTGTTGTATTTTTTCATACACTTCAGTGAACTTGCATTTGACAAAGTTGCTTCTATTAGATCTTCAGAATAACTTACTGATGTTATTGTCTTTTTTTCTCAGAGAGAGATTAAAGAAAGTGCAGATGCATACATACACTAAGATGAAGGCATCCTTTTAAGCCAAAATGGTCTACTACTTCTATCTGTTCACTTACTTAACTACACAAAGGGGAAATCTAGTGTCTTCCTTCCTCTTCCCACCCCTACCTCTTCAAACTATCAAACAACAGGAGCCTTAATACACAGATGTCACTGAGTGCAGCCCAGAGCAGTGTCTTATAGAATCAGCACGCTGCAAACTTGAACGGTGACTAATAGTTTTCTTATTGTCTTTCCAATTCTGCCTTGAGTCCACTACCCTGGGCTGATTTAATGCTTTCTCCAGCCAGCACTGTTTCTTTGGATGTGGGATTGCTGTTACTTATGGCTCAAGAAGAACTTGATTAGTACTGTTATACGTGCAAAAATAAATAAAAAGCAGGATTAGAAATTAGTCCCACTGCTCCCCCTCCACTCGGGTTTTTCCTCTGTACTGGTCTCTTGCCATAGCTTTAAGCTGTACTTCAGCATTCTGTGTTGTGAATGTCGATCTCATGTGGCACCTAATGTAAAAATTATGGGAACTCATGTGTCACGGTTCAGATCTCTTTTCCTGCCTTTTCGTATTGGCAACAGAGACTGGGGGAGGCATCTATATGGGTCTATAAATATATTTTGCTTTAGCAAATCTCCAGAGATTAAATCAGATTAAACAAGATAAAGTATCCATGTGATGTACCCTTTAAATAATATACCCACATGGATGCACAAAAGACCTCTGTCTGGGAGAGCAGAGTCGTTGGAGAGGTTTATTGAGATGAATGGTATAAATAAAATGTGTATAAGGGGGAAGGAAAGAAGCATTTGCAATTGAGGTGCAATTTAATTAGGAGTCAAGGTGATTTTGCCTGCTACCTGAAGAGGCTTGTTATATAAATTGGCATTTGTTGTAATGACTGAAGTGTGTCTGAAACCCTCTTCTCATTAGCTGATCCTATTCTTTCAGCCTTGTTGCAGTGAGACAAGGCTGGCCTGATGGGGAAGGCAATTGAGCAGGCTGCCAAGAGACAACTTTTATCAGCCTTTTGTGCTAGCCTATTTCCCAGACTGCATGTGCTTTTCAGTCCTGGTGTGTTAATGCTGTTGGTCAAGATGAGAAGCCAACTGGAATAGATCTCTAGAAAATGTCAGAATTGAGGAGGAGGAAGGAAGAGGTAGGGAGACAGGGGACTCGCCCTTCAAGGCTTGGAGTTATCAACACTTAAAGACTGAGAGGGGAGGACTGGGGTGTGGTGGTGGTGGCATTCAAAGGGAAAAACATGCCTCTTGCCTCCTACTCTGTCTTCTAGACTCTAGGACTTGGGTAGCTCTGGTTTGGTGTGCACAGTGCTGCTGCTGTGCTTGCTCCATGTGCAGTGTATAATTATCATTTCTGGGTTGTCTTGCAATTAGAACAGTCCCACTGATCAGCAGCATCCTTTCAGGCAAAATAAGTGGGATGTTTTGTCCCCTGCCTCTCTTAATTCAACTGCAGAAAAGACATTATAGGAATGTGTGTGGTGAGGGGCTACATACAGCAAGGTGATGGAAATGTTTAGGCTGGGCAGCAAGGAAAGCTGCCTGGCCCAATGATCAGAGGGGGCTGCACTTGAAACTGGTGGGGTGAAGTATTTGGAGTGTCAGGTAGTCCTGCCCTGGCCTCAGAGGTGGGGAATAAATGACCCGTAAGGCTCTTTGTTTTAAGAGACACCATCACATTGAATAATCCCTGAAATGCCACTACAGACAGCAAAAAAAAACCCTCAAACAAGNAAAAAAAAAAAAAAAAAAAAAAAAAAAAAAAAAAAAACAAACAAACAAAAAAAACAAACAACAAAAGAACCCACAAACAAACAAAAAAAACCACAAGAAACCAAACCAAACCAAACCAAAAAAACCACAAAGCAAATGAGTGGAAGACTATTTTCTTGTGTCTGTAATGGAGGAGTGTCATAGTAAAACATATCTGGTGTTTAGGCTATAAACATCTACACTTTTTCATTTCATGTACACATGACATGATTTGTTTCCTGCTCTTTTTATCTGTTGCTTTTTTGTTTGTTTGTTATTTTTTTTAAGTAAAAACACTTTTCCTAGAGTTTTTTTTAATGTAGACTGCCTCACACCTTCTTGCAACCTATATACCTCCATATCTTCTGATGAAAGGAGCATAGGCTCTCTAATGTCACTTGGAGCCTGCTGATCTGAATCCATCCCTCTCACATGCCTCTGTCTAGAGTTGTTTTGTCAGCAGTAACAGGGGGCCAAGACATGGAGCTCTTTGAGTACCTTGCTGCCATTTCAGTGCATTGCTGGCTAAAGGAATGATAGAGCTGGCTCCTGTGAGCCACTTCTTGGCTGATTGTGTTGGGAAAATGCAATGCTTGAGCACAGTGGCCCTCCAAATTAAATATGTGTGTGTACACATATATACATGGATGTACAGACATCCTTTGTGCTCAATCATTTCTCTTTGCTGTCCAGCTCTTAAATCTGTGTTAGCTTAGGCTGTATAGTGTTTGAGGAATGAGTTTTCTAACTGGAGCACCATAGATGTTTCACCGATGGACTGGGTTGGTCCGAGATTTGCATAGTTCTTGATCAGCCCTTATAGGTCAAGGCATTAAATCTGTCCAGCTCAGTGCTTCAGAGTGCCTTGCTATTCTTCAGTTGTAATGTGTCAGATTCACTCTTCTGTGACACTAGAGCCTCTGGTTTTAGGTCAGGTCAGTAGCTTCACACACCAGATAAACCCTCAATTGACTTTAATATGCAGTACTAGATAACTGACATTATCCTCTTGACAGGTGGTTTGCAGCTTGCTGGATGAAGTCAAAATATTTCACTATAGGTGTCATCAGAAACCATCATCCTATGCTAATTTTTGTGGGAACATGAAGACAGATGTTGAATAATTTGACATGAGCAGCACAGCTTTTAAAATTATCATCCTGTCAAGTTCACAGTGGAGTTATATATATATATATATATATATATATATATATATATGTTTTCAGATGAGTTTGAAAGAGGGGGGCAGGTGGGTGTAGTAAGTGACTGCCAGTAAGTGGAAGATGCAGCAGAAGATGGCCCAGGAGATTCAAGACAGTAATTCAGTAGGGGCAGTAAGGGGTGCTGTGCTGCTGAGGCTGATGTTCTTATTTTGAAGTAAAGATAAAAATTATTTCCATGCTGGTAACTCAGGGATCTTGTGACACTTCCCAACCACCAGAAGCCCTACGGTTTTGCCTGTGTTTTGATGAGTTACTGCTATTCTACTTGCCTGAATAGCGCGATTTCAGGCTTCCAGTCCCTCCCTCCATACACACTGTGCTCTCTTGGTTCATTAAGCATAGTCTATTAGCATTAAGCTAAGAACAATGCCTGCATGGCTATGGCTTGTTCTCAGGAGGGCAGAGGTGGAGGGGGGGGTGGGGGAAAATTGCCTTCTGCCCAGTGGCAGTGTGCTGATAAAAGCAATAGAGAGAGATGCATTTCTACTAGTGAAAGACAGCTTGGGGTGGAAGGTGTTTCTTACTCTGTTCATGGAAATGTCCCAAGCCCTACCTGCAAAAGGCTTCTTTAGGTGGCATAAGGTAAGTCCACAGGCAGCTGGTTTGTGTGTGTATCTCTGGAAAGACAGTTCATTGGTGAAGTTCTCATCAGGTGAGATGTTTGTATTTTTTGTGCAGAGGGGTTGCTGTGTTGTGTTGTCAGAAGGGGTTGTGCTTTGCTGCGGGGAATACAAGCCCTCTATACAAGAGACAGTGGATAATGTTGGTTTGTTCTTGGAAAGGCAGTGGGTGCCCACATCTGGTGATACAATATTTGTTTCTTTAGGCCATACCTGGTAGCCCAGATCTTAGGTATACTGAAACTGTTAAGAGAACTTTGAGACCATTTCTGGTCTTAAGCAGTCAAGGTGAGCACACCAAGTGTGCTCCGTCAAATTGTACCCAAGTGCCTGTGTCCCAGGCACTTTCTGCTGATCATCATCCTCTGGTGTGGTACAGGTTTAAATTCAAAAGAGTAAGATGTGCCAGTGTCCCCTGGGCTTGTGGAGGAAAGCGGAGAGATGTGGCATTTACACCACACAGCAGAATGCTGA